TTTCTGTTGTGCTGGACTTTCTAGTTGTTCAGTAATTTTACTAAAGTTTCCATGATCGCAAGCAATTTACATTTTTGCAGCTACTTGGTTTCACTTGAAGCTTGTTCAAGTTACTTTTATTTGCAGGTTTTACATTTCTGCTAAAGTACGAACACCTGATGAACACAGAGAAACATATTCTGGTTTTGAATTTTGATGCAGAAAACCTTCACAGGCTATAGTGAATTTAGTACAAATTCATATTGCAGTAATGGAATAAAGAATGAACTTTGGCTTCTACAACACCATTTTCCCAATTTGCATTCATCTGCTAAGTTACTTACTTGTAACGATGGTACCAGGTATTACATGTGTGATATTACTTATTAATATTAATTTTAATAAATTTACTTTTAATATTTCAATAAATTTACTTTTTAATATTAATATTGCTTTTATTAACAAGTAGGGCTTACATTACAAACATTCACAATTCAGGAAATGAAATATTCCTCTCCATGAAACCCTAACATGGGCTTTTTATTATCTTTTTAACATGCAGAAAGCAAAAGCTATTTCTGTTGTTCAACAACAGTATTTTCCTGATTCCTATATCTCTTTAAAACATGATGTTATATATAGGATGAACAACTATCTGTTCTGCAAGGAAATTAATTAAAAATAGAATATTTAATTGGTAGGAAGAGACAAACTAAATAAAGGACAAATATCACTACAAGTCACCCCTAAAATAATAAAATATGCTTATGTATGGTTTTGTGTAATATATAGCACTTTCTAAACAGATTTATTTAATTTTCCCTCTAAGTTAAAGTATTTACTTTAATTTTCCCTCAAAGTTAAACCCATACAATGTAACTAAGATCAGGTCCAGAAATCAAAGACAAAAATCCTGAACAAGTCAAAAGTCAAATTCCAATTTCAGTCTTTGATCTTGCATGAGAATTATTCACATGCAAACAAACACACCTAAAGACTTTATTACAAGAATAAAATCAAACTGGACACTATAGTAGACAGTGTCCAGGATATTTTGAATACACTGCTAATAATTAAATATATGTGAAACCAAAATAAGGAAGAGAGTATTACATGTAGAATACAAAAAATACATTTAAAATAAAGTAAAATCAAGACAAAGTCAGTAAAAACCTAAGCAAACATCTGAATCACTCTTGGACAATCTTGCAGAAGAGAACTGATGACAATGATTTCCTAGTAAATTCCAACAAAAATATTTCTCACTATGACAAAACTGAAAGAGAAAATTCTGCTTTCAGCCTTATCTTATTTGTATTTACTAATCAATAAAAGTTATGTATTAGACACGGGAGAATAGCTATGGAAAACAAGTAGCTATACTAAATAATCTTTTTTTCCCATAATTTGCTATATCTAATCATCTTTCTTCTAAATTGTCGTTTCCAACTCCAGAGCAATTAAATCTTACTTAATTTCTGAGTTATTACTAAAAGCAACACATTAGACTTCCTGAGAATTGCATAATATTAAGAGATATAAAAATTGTATTTCTTGCACAGAGATTTAAGAGAAAGTTTTAAGAGTTGCATCTTTTGCCAAAAACATTAGCATTTGAATTAAACTCTCACTAGCATGCTTAGCTCATGAAAATGGCCTTTTTTTAAGTACACATAGTGCTGGAAGCAAAACACAGGTCTGGACTCAATGAACTGCATGAACATCATCACTACTGTCATTTTCTTACTCACTTCTTTGCCTTAAAGCTGCACATAGATCAGCTCCATGTACCTTTTTGCTTTTCTCTTCTCTTCAATCACACACTCCTCTAATCCTTCAGTCAGCCTACAAATCTCAACTTGCAGCTCTCCTTGTTTTCATTTCCTTATTTTTTATTTTGCTGCCCAAACAGTTTTGAGTCCCCTCAGCACTCACGCTGCATGCCAGGTACTATGTAACCATTCCCACCCCTCCTGGGTGACTCACTGGTGTGATACAAGAAATAAAAGCCTCAGAAATAATAAACTACTAGCAAAACCAGATCTCTCCAAAGTACCATCATCCCCTGAAGTTTCGTAGGAACTTCTTGCCTGTGTTTTAGACTAGAGATCCCTCGGGGCAAGAACCAAATTATTTATGACATAATTAAACAAACAACAGCATTATACTAATTCACCCTTCAAAGAGATACCCTGAGATAGTGCTACATATCACTCACCCAAATCTCCAAACAATATGCCATCTATCAAAGGCAGGTAGCTGTCAGCAGAGGTAACTTCCCTGTACCACACACACAGGTCACTCAGTAATCTGGTCCATTCACATCAGTGTTTTCCACTATGAACATAGGGCAATTTAAGCACCTAATTTGCAGGTGTTGGAGGCAATCCTCTTGGTATTTTCTTTAAAACACTCCAGCAAACACAGACTTAGTAGTTAGCAGCCCAGTCTGCATAGTAGGAGATGCCAAGCAGGCCCTAAGAGTCTGCTCCTGTCACCATGGGACTGTGCTGTCTCAGGCTCTCTCGCTGGTCAGAGTGACCCCGAGAAATGTTAGAAAGTCTCTTTTCCCAGCCCGGCGCTTGAAGAAGGAATCAGAGCTCTTCAGTTCTCAGTCTCAAGGTTGTTTATTTTCCCTTATCTATAAAATATATTCTCCTGTCCAGCTGAGGTCCACTCATCAAGACAGTCCAGGCATTCTGCCTGCCCCTGGGGTGGTGTTATGTCTTTATACTAAAAACTACCTATACAATGTTATCACCTATGTTAGCGAGCTTCTCCTCTAAACCAATCTAAAAGTGCCAACATTACAGCAGAGGATGGAGGCCAAGAAGAAGAAGGAGAAAGGCTGGACATGCCCAGATCCCTCCATCTTGCCCCCTGAAGCCCCATTCTAAAAATCCCAAAATCTACTTTTTCACCCCATGATAAATTCAGTATTATTCTACTTAACTGTCGTGGCCTGCAGATCTTCATCCAAGGTTGGTAACTTGCTCCATGGGTTATAATCAATGCCACAGTCATTTTGGGCTCTGTGCCAGGGTCTCTGAGCCCCCTGGCAGGGGTCTTGGCTGCTCAGGACAGCCAGAGGGATGTCCTGGGTACCGACATTGTGCCAGAGGCATGCAGGAAACAGGGGCATTACAAGGCTCCATCCCCAGCTCCCACTGGAGCAGATGACCTTGGATTCCTCTGTCTCAGGTGAGGTAGAGCTCCAGAGGGAGAGTGCTGCCATGCAGGAGTCAGTCTGCAAGGTGACACTGGCCTCACACTGGGAGAGACACTCTGGTTGGGGCACTGAGACACCAGCAAAAGGAGCTGGGGGAGGAGGTAAACAGACCATGGGGCATCATGGAGAACAAACAGTACATAAACAGGGTCACTTCAAGGATGCTGAAAAGATTTCTGGTGGACTTGGGGGTAAATGTATGTTTCATCCCTCAGATCTGCTGCTGAGGAAGAAGAAGAACCTGATTGGGGATGTGATAATCAATGGCAGCCTTGGCTGTAAAAACCATGAAACAATGGAGTAACAAAGGCAAGAAGCAGAGGTACCCAGCATGGTTAGAAGCTGGAGAACCTTCTCCAGGAGAGGATGATGAGGGACATGGGCTTGTTCAGATTGAAGAGGAATCTAAGAGCAGCCCCACCAGAACCTACACAGAGATGACCATGATGATGGAGCTAGGCTCTGACAATGGCATACAACAGGAGAGTGAGAGATTATTAGCATAAACCAAAACAAAAAGTTGTAACTAAGTATAAAAAAAAATTTCTTTGCTATGAGGATGATTTTGCAGTGGAACAGGTTAACCAGAGAGGGTATGAAATCTTTGTTCTTAGAGGTTTTCAAGATGTAGCTGGACAAACCTGTCAACAGACCAGGCAGAATTCATAGGGCATTGCTTTGAACAGGAGAATGAACAAGAATCTTCCCAGGGTCCCTTCTGACCTGACTGAATCTGTCTGCAGTTATTACTTTTCTTTGGACCAGGTTTTTTGTTTTGAAATGGATCCGATTTTCCTCACTTCTGATACTTCAGCTTTTGCTGCAGAGTTCTCCTAGAGTACACAAATAAATTCCTGCACTGGAGAATTCCAAATGGAAATGGAAAGCAACAAAGAAATGGGAAGTGCAAGTCTACATCAAAAAGTCAGGTGTCAGTTCATTCATTCTCCAAACCATTTGCTGTATATGGTAGCTGAATAAACAGGAGTTATTTTTAAAAAAACAGATTGTGAGCCTTAAAAGTGCTGGTCCACCCAAGAGAACACTCAAACTGAGATGCCAGTACAACACAGTATTTTGTAACTCTCTGAACAAAGGCCCACAGAGCATCTCCAAAAACTTCTGCAAAAGAAAAATGCCTGCCAAGAAAGCCACCTGTGTACTCACAGGAATGATTTAACACTATTAACAAAGGGTCACTGTTTCCTTTGCAGTTCAATATATAAGCCAACCATGCCTCCCATGCACCTCAGTGCTTTAATTCTCCAAACATCTGGGCACCGTGGCTGATTGTGCTCCTGGAACTTACTAGGGCAGAAAAGAACCTGGCTACCAGCATTTCCTGAACATGGAGCTTTGTAAGTCACCAGGAGGAAATGATTTGCAGATTATGCACAGCACAGGAGTCCAGCCTTCTGCTTATCAAGACACATTTCATAGAAGCATCTGGACATGTAACACCCTTCAAGAATGCCACAGCTCTTTCCCTTTCAAAGTTTTACAACATCACAAGATTTCTAAGTCAATATTAAGAAAACATATAAACCAAGTCAAAGGATATTCTTGCTTTAAAAACAAACTAGATATTTAAAATTTCTAGGTTATATTGAAATATAAAAGCACAGTCCTCAAAAAGTTTTAATCTTGATTAATTCTTTATGGATGGGATCATCTACAACTACTTCAGTGACAAAACCTTAAAACTAGCTAGCCAGCTGATCATTGTCTCTATTATAGGGCTACTGTCCTTACAGAACTTGCAGGCAAACATCTTTCTTACAGGACAACTCACCAATGGCCTTTGTGTAATGTCTGGCCCCAAGTAACAGCTCTGGAGCTCTGTACCAGAATGTCACCACAACAGGATCCAAGTCTGCCAATGGCTTCAAAGGTGAGTTAAACAGTCTTGCAAAACCCATATCAGCTGGGGAATGGGGAGAAAAAATGAGATTATTTAAATTCTAATACAAATAAATCAAAATTCAAGAGTATTGTCAAAAACAATTACAACAACAGCTCAAAAACATTAAAAATTACAAATCAAAGTTTCTAACAAAACAAAAACTACTTACAACAATACTGGACCAAATTTTTCTAAGGCTAAATTCCCTTTAGTTCATTCGTAAAACTAGAAAGGATAACATCTGATGTGTTTTGATCATGGTATTGTAAAACTTTATATAACACATTTTTTTTTAAACTGTAACAGAAACTTGGTTAACTGAAGTCAACAGTAGTAGGTCTCTAATGTACATTTTCTCCTTTATTTTTATACATGCTTACAAAACTGTGAGTCCTTGTGACTGCTATATATTTACCCAAAGTGCAAAATTAAAATGACTGCAGTGTAGATTGTTTTTGCACTATTTTTCAAGGCATGCCTCCTATATGATTTGGAGGAATGAGCTCCAGAGTCAGTGAGCATTCACTGTTACAGAGGTGTATTTTAAAACTAAGCATTCATCCTTTGGAACTCAAAAATTCTCCTTAGAATGAGCCTGGTAAGTAACAGTAAGAAATACTGGATGCAAAAGCACAAAATTTGCTGTATTGTCAAGCCCACACATTTTAAACCCAATTCAAATCTGAAACTTCTCTTTCACACAAACTTCAATATTGCCACATGTAATATCCACATCACTAAAACTGAGAAGGGAATTAGATTTTGGATAAAGACCACCACAGCTACATATGTTACTCACCAAATAACTTTTGCATAGCAAACCTTTGGATCTCTACAAACATATGCAGTAATTTTGTTTATATAAAAATAAAAATAAGAAATCAAACAGTTTATAAGTAACAATGCTAACTAATCATAGCAGAAGTCAAAAGAACCCTGGTCATCACCACTGTTCTCTGTGCTTATTACTTTTTTGTTTCATACAGATGCTTTTACATCTCATCTAATACCCTTGGCAAGTTTAGAAAAGCCTAATAATATATTTGGAATTTCTTATGTCTGTAAAGTCAGTAAATGAGATTTAAAATTGAACTAGAGGTGGTAGATACATACACTCAAAGAATACTAAAGATCTGTTTCTATCTTACACAGGAGATGCATTTTTTTATTATAGTAATCTCTTAGCTACACAATTAAAATTTTCTCAAAAAGTTTACCTATTTTGACTCTTCCTCTTTCAGGACCTTCACCCATTACCAGAATGTTTGCTGGTTTCTGGAAAACAAAAGCAGAATTTTTAATCATCAGCCTTTGATGATTATTTTTGAGAATAACATAATTACATACATTTATTTTATAAAAAAAAAACATATCTAGAAACACCCTTAGAAGTCTAAAAGTGCCATGCCTTTATCTTGCTGACATTTAGTTTTTATCTCTGGTTACCAATTTCACAATTAGAAAACAGAAATATACTTTGACATTTCACAGTAAGAAATACCATCTTTAAGTAAATGTGCATTTCTATTGTTACTAGAATAATTCTATTCACTGGAGACATTTTCTTTTAGAGGAAAGTTTTATATTAGCTTAACTTTTATGCTACACATCAATAATCTGGCAAGAACCGCTTTTGCTGGTATAGCTTATTTAAAGTGATGCCAAATTTTGGTATACAAATGCATAGTTGAGAGCCACTTCTGTTTTCATCCTATATAACTACATTTTTAGAGCTGTGCTCAAATGATAAAAATCACATGGGCAAAAGCACTTTTTTCCCCACAAAGTTGATTTCATGCTATGGGAATTCTCTTGAAACAGGAGTATTCACACACAGCTACATCCCAAAAGCTTTTGAGAGTGCAGACAGCAGCTATACAAGTAGAACAAAACCTTTACAGGCATTTTTTGCAATCTATTTGTTTGCAACCAGCTGTTTGTGAACACCACATAAAATCTGCACATGACATCACAGCAATTGTTCTGCAATTAGGATCTAGGTTCCCTCAAACATCAATAGTCATTCCTTGGAAGCTTTTGTCCTATTGTGTTAACAGCTGTAGAAAGTAAACAAGATTGAAAACATTAAGTGATTTGAATGAAGAGATGCATAACAAAGCTTCAAAGCAGAATTTTTGGAATGTTATTCAAACAATAATTATATTTAAATCCTTAATGCCTGCAGAGGGGTCTGCTCAAGCAGGATTTGTTCAAGAATCTGAAAGAGATGTCCAGAAAACCAATGTCTGAATCTCACTTAAATTCTCAGTTCCTTGCCACTATTTACCTGAAATGAGACACTCAAACTAGGGTTTCTAATTTGACTCAAAATTACACACCTTTAGCTTTTTTCAGAAAGGAAACAAACAGAAAAAGCACTCTACTTCACCTATTCTTTCTCCTTCCCCTAGGAAGCTGTTCTTCCCATCCCACACCCAGTGCTTACTTTGTTTCTTCCCTGGCGCCAACCACTGCCTCTCTTTCCAGACGCCTCTTTTATTCTTCCTTTTTTAATGTGTAATTCTCAACACTATCACTGACTTTTAATTCCCCAACATATACTGGAACCATTCAAGAGGCAATATGCACTCCCTTCTTGGAAAACACAGCTGATTTCAATTGACCTTGAGCAAACACTCACCAGCAAATCTAGGAAAGAGAAAGATGATGCTTGCTCTTCGCTGCTATTTAATGACAATAAAATCAACACCTCAAGGCAATTGTTGAACTCTGGTTGTACATTTATGTATTACCCTGAATTGAATATTCCAGAGAACAGAATAATCACTTTCTGCATATTCAGTAAGCAGGCAGTAAGAGATGCATGCAAGTTCACACTACATTTTACCTCTGTTAGAAATCATATGGATACAATTGTCCTAACCAAGAGAACAAAACTCCAGTTTTCTTGATGAACTTCTTCCTAAACTTCTGCCTAGCAACTGATTCAGAGTTGAGAATGATGAGTTTGCTGGATTGATGTGCCAAAGCCAAATGTATGAGGTTCAACAATGCCAAGTGCAGATTCCTGCCTGTGGGTCACAACAATCCCATGCAGTGCTGCAGGCTGGGGAAAAGTGGCTGGGAAGCTGCAGATGCAGGCATTGGAACAGGCTGCCCAAGAAACTGGTAGAATCACCAACCCCAGAAGTGTTCAAAAAAATGAGGATTTGCACTTGCAGCATGGTTTAGTTCTACACATGGTGGTGGTGTGAGGTTAATGTTGGACTCAATCTTAGTGGGATTTTCCAATCTTAATGATTCTATGAATCAAAATTACTTCAACAGACCTTTACATTCAGGATTGGATTTTAAGTACTATAAAAATGCATTTACTTGTCAAGTGAAGCAAGCTGATAAAAATGCTGTTACTGCACTGATTTATAGGTGAGGTTGTTTCTAACAAAAGAATTAGGTTGTAAGAAATAAACATTTTAACTTCAGAAGATTTTGTAAGACAAAAATTAAAATCTAAGCAGAAAGGACTTTCAGAACAACTCACAAGAGCCATATTTTATCTCTGGCAATAGAATATTCTCCAAATAGCAATTCATTCACAGAAAAAAAGCTCCCAACTCTTTTATCTGCTGACCTTATCCACAATATTCACAGAATACTTCAGGTTGGAAAGGACCTCTGGAGATAACAAGCCTAAAGCAGGGTTACAAATTACAGCAGATTGCTCAGGCCTGAGCCAAGTTTGGTTTTAAACTTCCCCACAGATGGAGACTCTCTCTGAAACTTCCAGTGTTTGACCCCTCACAGTAAAAAAGGTTTATCAATATAATATATTTACATCTACTCCCTCCTGTTCTACCACTGGATAGCACTGCAAGGAGTCTGGCTCAGCTTTCTTTATTCACACTTATCAGGCACATATACACATTGATAAAATCCTACATGAGCCTTCTCTTCAGAGACAGAATAGCCTCAGCATCCTCAGGCTCAGAAAGACTCTCCAAAGCCCTAGGAGACTTAGTGGTCCCATGAATAAAGGAGATACACTAGGAGAGAGTCTATGGAAGCTAGAGACTTGTCCACTTATATATTTTTAAAGCCAGAATGTTTAGAAGAGATGCTGTTCTTATTAAAATTTAAATCTGTTCTAACACATAATCCACTGAGGATCAGAACCCTGCTTAGGCAGCCAGCAGAGAAACAAACTGATTTATGAACTTAGCAGATGTCACATTCATTAGCTCTTGTGAACCCCTCTGAGAGAGTCAGGGGCAGGGGAAACAGGGAAAGAATAAAATGGGAAACAATTAAAACTTTAATTGAGCAAAAGAGCAAGCACTTCTCCTGAGGCACCACCAACCAACGTGCAGACAGCAGGGATTTCATGGATAGTAACCTGATGCCTACAGGATCCCCACTGTGTCAGCAACACCTTGCATCATGGCACCTTCCTGAGAGGTGAGAAGTCTTGGTTCCAATCTGTTTTTTAAGTAACAAGAAGCCTACATCTCAACCTCTTATTTCCCACATGAGCAAATTAACCACTTGATTATCTACTAATCAGCACTTTCTAAGTTCCTCTTGCTAATCAGAGCTGTTCTGGCTAGGAAAGGCTTTTCAATGTACATATGCTAAACCAGATGGGACCCATCTTCTTGAGATGCAATGTATAATATCCAGTTCCTGTGACCATGAATTTTTATTTAATAAAAATAAACAGCTTCAGAGGAGCTTATATTATAGGTCAAATATTTTGCAGTTGTTTTATACAGTAATGGCTTGAATATTGTAAAACTCTTCCCAGAGTCTTCACATTGCACATACCATGGTGAGAGAAACACAACCCTTTGGGTAAACAAGAGCCACCAAGGCAGAGCAGCAGGATTTCAGGTGCTCAGGTATGGAGGAAAGATTTTCGTTTACTTCAGAGGGAGTAATTTGGCATCAGCAATCCTCAGGAAACTATGTTTAGAAAGGTTTCCATCATGAGGTAAGAGAAAGGACTACTGAAGGAGAATTCAAACAATCTCTGCTTCTTGGAGAAGGTAGAACGTGTTAGTTCTACCTCTGCCTTAGTTCTTAGTAATCTCTGAAAATGGAAAATGTAGCATTTAAATATCAAAACATTTTACTCCAAGATTGTCAGTTAGTCAGCAATAAAACTACAGCCTAGTATACTATAGTTACTGGACAGCTGCAAAAATCAGATTAAAAAGCAGGAATTAAAAAGCCCCCCACTTTATTTATGTTCAGGCTATATGTAAGTCATAAGCACCAGTCTAGTTCCTGACACAAATCCTACTGCCAGCCATTCGATGAAGAAAACAGCGTTTTAGCTGGAAGGAATCATCAAGAACCAAGCAGCAGCTAAAAGACCAAAAGCTGGCACATACTTAGAGTAAATTGTGTCTCTATACAAGAGGACAAAATTTTAATAAAGAAAGTCTGAGAAGCCCTGCTTAAAGTCATTATCTAACTCTAGAGTAGTAGTTGGGTGAGACAACCCAACAAGGAGTATACTTTTCAAGCAGTTACATTCTAATTAATCCTCTATTTTCCTCATGCTCTCCCCCCTCGCTGAGAACACAAACACCAGCTGGGAAGCAAAGTGATGCTACTGCATCTCCCCCTATCTAGTTGCTATAGGAACAACAGAAACAGTAAGAATTAGGAGTGTCACATTTAATATAAGCTATAAAAATGAACAGGCAAATCCCTGCTGAGAAATTCAGTTGAGGTTTGACTGTCTAAAAAGACATTGGCAAAAAGAGCAAGGTTAACAGTAACAAATAACTGAAGAAAAATCTGAAATATTTGCAAAAAGGGATGAAGATGACGATTCTTTATAAGTCTTTACAATAGGTTCTTTATGAGTCTTTACAATAGGCTCACAGTAAGCACTGATAATAACATTTACTTTTCTACATTAGTGGGGGAGAGGGAATAAAGAAATTTTAAAAATCATGATGGGAGAGAAATTAAAATGTTGGATTAACAAGTGTGCTTTCACAAATACAACAAGTGTCACAATTGGGACTCATACAGACATTCATGTGAAGATACACTTCTAATTTTAATATTTAGACAGTAAAACAGAAGAAAGGTTGAAAGAAAAGAAACCATCTATGGTATTAAAAGATTATAATAGTTCAAAACAGGAACAACAACCTAACAATAGATGGCAATACTTCAGTTTTAATGGTTGTTGTGATCTCCTTAAGTACAGCAGTGACACAATTCATAAGAGATTTGGTGCAAAAGTCCTATGAAAAAATGTCCATAGGGATATACCACTTTCTATAAACAATTCTTTATTG